TGAAACGAGTCTCATACCTCACCAAAAAAAAAAACGAAATCTCAATTGCGAATAATTATTATCACAAACACACACACATATATATATATATATATCACCCACGAACGAGAAATTAAAAATTTAACAAATTTAACACGGAAAGAACGAGAAGAACCACCACTTGTATATTTCCACCGACGAGTCTTTCCCTTTTCTTCACTTTTTCACCAACGTATAATTGTATACCGAACGAAAATCTCGAAATCTCAAAATTCTCGAATTGTTGTGAATTAAATTGAAAAAAAAAAAAAAAACCAATGCACACCACCTTCGCGACGCTCGATCCGAGCAAAGAGTCAGACGTGTCCAGTTCAATCGCGGCTGCACTTCGATCGAACCAACTCTCTCTCTCTCTCTCTTTCTCTCGAGAACAAACCGATGCGGTCCGATCGAAGGCAGCCAGCTGTCAACAACACAACGAATGTTGATAACGAACGAAAAACTAGTAGTGCACTGAATAATTCACCCTCTGTATCACTGAAACACCGCACGATATTTCTTCGAACGTTGGATATGTCTACGCGAAGGGAACGATGATGGAAAAGATTGAGAGAGGACGCGTGATCGTGGCGGACGACAGACTCGATCGTCTCCGGCTTCCAGTGGATGACTATTAAGGCTAGACTAAGCTCGGGGTAGAGAGTGTGCGTGCGTGAGACACGAGAGTCCAACCCCACCAACGAACTCGGCCACTGAAAGTAGCCTCCGCATGCATCATCCCCACCACGTGTTCGGGTTTTTCATTTTGAGTGGGAAACTGCGTGGCGACCGCCGTCACCTCCTTCTCTAGAATAATGACCCGCCGCCGGGTTATTAGCGAGCTTGGAATGCTAGACGGGGCTTCCGCGTTGCACCTACTCTCCGTGGAAACGTTCGTGTCTTACAGAGAGACGAGAGCGTGCAGACTTGTGTGCTGGAAGGCTGTGCACAGCGATGGGCAAAATAAACTCAATAATTGAATAAAGTTACTTCGGGTAATTTATTGTTCAAAGTATATAAAAAAAATTGAGATTATACTAAGAATTAATTATAATAGCTAGGAATAAATGTTCGAGCATTTTAATAAGTAATTAGTTAAAGTAAAGTTTATTCTTCAACGAGTCAATGCCCAACTCTGGCTGTGCACTTTGTCTCGTTTCGTTGGAATTTTTGGAAGAGAATTTTTTTTTGGTTCGTTTGATTTGACGATGGAGATTCGAGGGGAGAGGAAATTATTGGAATTTTGATGGGATTTGAAAAAGAAAAATTAGGAAATTGTAGATATTCAGATAATAAATGAGAAAAATTTCGAATTGGAGAATTGATTGATGAAGGATTTTTTAATAATTTTATAAAAAACGAAGATTAGAATTTTGAAAGAGAATTCTACGATTACAACTAAATTATAATAATTAGAATATTTGAAATTTGAAATTTGTCAATGAAAATTGTTCAAGTTTTGATATAGTTGAAGAAAATAGAGAATAATTTAGAAAACAAGTTTAATAATAAATAGTGTAGCAGAATTGTAGTGTAGAGAATTTAATAATAAAGACGATTTCGATGCCAAGAAATTTCTTTACGATTTGAAGAGAAAATCATTTGTACATGTTGCAAATGTTAATGAAATATATTCTGAATTAACAGTTGAAAAATTTGTCAATGAAGAAGAGAATTCCTTAATAATTTGGTAGAAATTATTTGAGAAGAAAATTTTACGATAAAAATGTTGATGATCAATTTCTTTATTTGAAAACTGTTAAAGTTGGGATTGATTCATTAAAATAATTTTAAATTTAGGTAGGAAAATGGATAATCAAAAAAATTCAACAGTGAAGAAAGGAATTCTTTTATAATTTCAACAAAATTATTAGAAATTTAAAAATCAATTAATATCATTAAATCACAAATATCTAACAAATTATTTTAAATATAATTCAATTTAATCTTCAAATTTTATCATTCGAATTAAAAATCCGAAATAAAATAATTCAATAGCAAATAATCGAACAAATATTATTATATTCGTGAGATATCAGATAATATTCATTATACATGTAATTGATTTGTAAATTATATTAGAAACGCATATTTATAAAATTAATAATATTCATTCATACAATTTTATTAAACTTTCGCGTTTATTTTGACACAATTCAACACAAGAAACAAAAAAATCCTATTAATTATTTATTCTCACGAAGAAAGAATTGTTCACGGTTAACACAAAAATACCCATAAAAGAGATGAAAAATAAAAAAAAAAAAGTACAAAACCGCGAAAAAGTTTCGTTTGGATTCTCCCTAGCCGATGACGAATCGTCCGTTTCTCGTCGTGTTTAAAAATAAAGTCACGCGAAGTTTAAGACCAGACCGTGTTCTACGATTTCGTTGATATTACGGCAAAGCCTCCTGCTGAGGATGAAAAAAGAAATCAAAGTAAGCATCGTGCCTGCGCCGACCATTTTCAACGTTTCGAGAATCGGTTAATCCCTCCTTTCGAAAACAATTATCGTCATAAATTCAATCTCTCTTCTTGAAAGAAGAAAGGGGGAAAAAACGAAAGAGAAGGAAGGAAATCAGAAAAAAATCATGGCGTTAAAACAAACAAGTTTCACGATTTTTTAATGAAATTTATTCGACTCGTACGACAACTACGATAAATTCGTTACGCAAAAATACATCGTGTTTTGAAATGGAGGATCGTGGAATCAGATGTGATTTATTTTTAAAAATAAATCGCGCTTCATCAAGATTATTATTCCACGTCAGAATATTAACAATCCGAATAACTCGACTTTTCGAAGGCCGATCCGCTGGCGATCTGCCTTGATTTCTCTTCTGCGAGGTCGACTTGGCCCCGGTCCATAGGCCCCATCCAGACATTGCGAAACGTGAATTTTCAAGTGCATTTACACGCGAATACCAAGGAAAATTTATAAGACCCGTTACATTGCCGTGTGACCGTATTATGATTAATTGGAATTGTGATTTATCCGCGATTTTGCAAACTGGCCGTGTGTCGTCATTCATTGTTTCTATGTCACAGTCAGTCACAAAAGTATCTTCAAATATTGTAATAAGAATTCGCCTATTTTGAAAAATTGGATTTTAATGAAAACAAAATTACGTACACGAAACAATTTATTTCGTATGTAGAATTTTCTCTCAAAATATTTTTTAAGGGATATTAAAATCTGAATATTTCAGTTTAAAATTTATTATTTTGAAAAAGAAATATAATATTTCAAAAATCGATTTCATCCTTTTAAAGTTATTAAACGAATAAACATGATTCTAATGAATATTATTAGATTTTGATTATTACTGCCAATCTTAGTATTTATTTTATCCAAGATCAGGTTGAACTGTTTACTCATCTTATTTAGGTTACAGTTTTACATATAACAAGAATTTCATCGTCTTATAGATTTATTAAATTTAATATTAATATAGTAATGACAAAGTTTTATATTAAATCATTTATATGTACAAAAATTTTATTAATTTTAACAGAAACTATTATTATTATTTGACAGAAATTTTAATATTTTTTTTTTATCCAATAGATGAAGAAGAATTAAAAAAAGATCTTAGATCATTGTGATTTGTTTACAGTGTTTCATATGAAACAGAATTATTGCTCGTTTTGATAATATAATTTATTAGTTGGATTTGTCTATCAAGACTTCTGTGATTGACTATATGTATCATATTAAAATGAAACATGATTCGTTTCCTGTTTGCAATCTCGGTTGGTCTAATTATTCCATCCTTCCTTCAGACTCGTTCATTTTATTCGAGTTGTTCGGTGGCTGTGGTGGTAATAATTAAAAATATCCTCTGCTTGGATGGGCTCTCGTTTGGCATGTTACAGCACAAATGACGGCATTGTTCGTGAAATCGAGATACAAGGGGAGCACAGAAATTCAGAATAAATCATTTTGGATCGTTTTAATTTTTCGTTTCACAGTTCACGAGTGTTTCATCGTGAACTAGAGACGTAAACTTTTTATTGTTGGATACGTAAAGGAATTTTGACACTCGATTTACGAATGGAAGTAAATCTTTTGTTTTTATGTATATTTAATCGTTTTCCTTGACACTACAATTTTTTAATTCGATTGAATTTTCGTTATTTGTTCTGTTAATGTTTTGAATAAATATTTCGAATATGAATTGAATAAAAAGAATTTGTATACAAACGATACGTAATTTCTATAATTATAATTATGAGTACAATATTTTGCATATTCTATGAAATATTAATTAGATGACATATATATGTATGATTCATGTGTATGACTCATATAATAACATATGTCTATTATTTCTTCTGTATGTGATATTTCAAAGTTGAAATAATTTTGAAAGAGTTATGGAGAGAAGTTAATAGTAAACGAAGAAAATTAATTCCAATGAAAGATATTATAGAAGGAACAAAATAATTAAATAATTGATTTATAATTTTTGATTAACTGAATTTTTCTTGGATAATTTATTACATGATAAATATTTATATAAATTTATAAATTGTTTTCACAAAAATCAATCAATATTACAACTTTTTAATCTTTTAAACTATATATATTTACAAAATGATTATTGAAAACCATTATTACATATCACCAATTAATCTTAAGCATGTATTAGATTAACTTATAACTTATAACAAAATACAAATGATGTAACAAACTTATTTCTATAATTAATTATAGTTATATGATTATATCTATCTATAACTAATTAAAGATAATACACCATATTCCACTAGAACACAAGAATCATTAAATCTTTAAAACGATAATTTAACATACACTAATAAATCACTTACCCGATTCACTTTTCATTTCGCGTACTAGTCTGCCAGCTTGTTTTTAGCATGATAATCAAATATCTCTTTCCCTGAAACGAGTGATGATTCAACGATCGCCATCGTGAAACGCGATTTAAAATTATTCTGGCGCGTGTATACCATTGCAGAGAGGAAAGGAGCGTATTACGAGGTTCCTGCTGAGACGGGACCAGATGTAAAACCGTCGACAGATTATGGAAGAGATATTATCCTAGAGCCATTGACTCTAGATGAAAATGGATTGCCACTCGAAAGTCTACCCTTGCAATCTGGTGACGAATCGTTACCTTGGAGAAAGGGACGGGTTCATCATCGACCTCGACTTGGCGACGTGACGCCATGGAGGAAAACGAAACCAAAATCTCGCGATACATCTTTGGACAAGTTGCAGACCGCGGAAGGCCAAGTGAAACCTTGGACAGAGGAAGCCGTAGTACTGAAGAAAACTCCGCAGGTGCCTCGTGAAACGCCGAGGGAAAAATTGGAGGAAGTCGAGTTGAAACCAACGAAAATCGAGAAGAAAGATATTACAAGAGCTAGCCTCGAAGCGGTTGATCTGAAACCTGTTGTTAGAGAAGTGACGAAAGAAGTAAAAACTGAAGAAGAGAAAATCACTCGACTGGATAAGACTACGGAAGAAGTTTACGTGGAAGAAGAAGATTCTAGATTTGTCAAAACCTCGAAAAAAATAGATGAAACTGTTCAAAGGAAAAAAGAAGAAGCTAAACCTTGGACCGAAGAGAAAGTTACGTTAAAAAAGTCAAAACTCGATAGGAAAGAGATCCCTAGAGAAACTTTAGAGACTGTGGAACTGAAACCTTCAAAGATCGATAGGAAGGAGATTGAGAAAGCTACTTTGGAAAAGGTAGATTTGAAATCTATTCCTACGACAGTAACTGAGAAGATTACTGAAGAAACGATCTCGAAGGCTGAATACCTTGAACAGGAGGACATTTCGATGTTGGATGTGACTAAGATCGAAGAAGTGAAGAAATTGAAGAAAGAAAAGATAGAAGAAAAAGTGGAACAAGCGAAACCTTGGACAGAAGAAAAGATCACGTTAAAAAAATCTAAACCAATAAAGAAAGAGATTGAGAAAGAAAGTATAGAAACTGTAGAACTAAAACCATCGAAGATTGAGAAATTACCTGATCAAAAACCAAGTTTGGAGAAAGTAGACTTGAAACCTATTCTAACGACTGAGAAAATCACCGAGAAAAAAGTCACTGAAAAAACTAAGTATTTTGAAGAAGAGGATACTGCTTTATTAGAAGTATCAAAGACTGAAGAACTGAAGAAAGTAAAGAAAGACAAGGTTGAAGAAAAACCGGAAGAGAAGCCTAAACCTTGGACTGAAGAAAAAGTTACATTGAAGAAGATCCAGCCTGTGAAAAAAGAAGTTGAAAAGGAGACGATAGAAACGGTTGAATTGAAACCATCGAAAATAACGAAAACTGCAATTCGAAAAGAGAGTTTAGAAACGGTGGATCTTAAAGCTGTCACGAAGGAAACAGAAAAAACAGTGAAAGAAATCGTGCAGAAGACTGATTACGTGGAACAGGAAGACACGACATTACTTGATATTTCTAAGGATACACAAATGAAGAAAACGAGGAAAGAGTCCATCTCAGTGGAAAAAGTGGAACAACCTAAATCTTGGACTGAAGAAAAAATAACATTGAAGAAAGCCAAACCTGAAAAGAAAGAAATATCGAAAGAAACGTTCGAGACTGTACAATTAAAACCATCCAAGCCAGAAAAGGCAGATATAGAAAAATCGAGTCTCGAAGAGGTAGATTTAAAACCTATTCCTAAGAAAGAAGTTCTTAAAAAACTTGAAGAAAAAGAGGTGGTCGTTGAAGATGACACGACTCTTCTTCAGATCACCAAGGACACTGAAACTGTCAAGATCGACAAAAAAGTAAAGAAAAAGGAGGAAGTTGAAAGAAAAACTTCGGAAACTAAGCCTTGGACTGAAGAGAAAATAACCTTAAAGAAAGCGAAAGTCGAACAGAAAGAAATTCGAAGGGAAAGTTTGGAAGAAGTGATCTTGAAACCAACTAAAACAGAAAAAAGAGAGATAAAGAAGGAAACATTGGAGAAAGTAGATTTGCAAAAAGTAACTGACAAGACTCAATTCGTAGAGGAAGAAGATACAAAAGTTTTGAAAATAGACAGAGAAGAAAAGATCGAGGAAGACAAAATAGAGAAAGTAGCGACTTGGAGAAAAGAAAGGAAACCGAAGGAACAAATACCATATCATGAAGAAGAGGATAAAACGATATTGGACGTAAAAAAAGATGTCGAATTCATTGAGAAACAGAAGGAAGTTCCAATACCTTGGGCGAGAGGTAAGAAAAAACCTACAGAAAAAGTTCCTTATCATGAAGAAGAAGATATTACTCTTCTTGATGTTGAAAAGACTGAAAAGACGACTGAGAAACAGGCGAAGGAGGAAGTACCGGTTCCATGGGCACGAGGAAAGAAAGCAAAGAAGAAAAACCTGAAGTTCCACAGAAAGTGCAATTTGAAGAAAAGCCAGTGGATGAAAAAGAAAAATTGGAACCAACGCAAGTTCCATGGCTTCGAGATAAGAAAGTGACAAAGAAGATACCAGAAAAGAAAGAGGAACCGGTTGAGGATATCAAATCTGTCACATTGAAACCGGTCAGGCACGAACATATACCGGAAGAGAAGGAGAAAATAGAAGAGATAACATTGAAGCCTGTTAAACGCATTCCACGTGAAGAAAAAAAGAAAGAGGAAATACAATTGAAACCCATTCCGAAACCCAAGCCTGAAGAGAAATCACATGAAGAAGTGATGTTGAAACCATTCCAAAAATCGAAACCGGAAGAAGAGAAACCGAAGAAACCGGAATTAAAACCATTCGAGAAACCTAAACCTGAAGCACCAGAAGAGGAAAAAATACAGTTAAAACCATTCAAACAAGAAAAACCGGAGGAAAAGTCGATTATAATCCCACAAAAACTTCCGGAAAAACCACAAGAAGAAATAAAGGAAGTTGAAGAAGTATCATGGCATAGGAAACCGAAAAAACCGTCGATTACAGAAGAAAAACCTGTTGAAAAAATACCAGAAAAGATAGCAGAGGAAAAAGTAATTAAAAAGGAAGAGGAAATGATCGAAGATTTCAAATCAGTAGCTTTGAAATCGGTTAAACGAGAGAAAAAACCTGAGGAACGGGAAGATAAAGAGGAAATCACATTGAAACCAGTGAAACGTACTCATAAAGAGGAAGAAAGCACGGAGGAAATTAAATTGAAACCGGTAGAGAAACCAAAACCAGAGAAAAAGATCGAAGAAAAAGAAGAGAAACCCTTGAAACCGATCGAAAAAGAAAAACCAATTGAATCAGAATTGCCTTGGCGACGTGACAAAAAGAAACCTATCGAGCAAAAAGTTACCGAAATCCCAATTGAAGAGAAAAAAGTGGAAGAAGAACAACAAGAAGTTAGTTGGCGAAAACCACGGGAAAAAGTGATGAAGGAAGTACAAAAAGAAGAAGTGGAAGATTTCACGGCAGTTAAACTGAAACCAGCAAGAAAAGAAAAAAGACCGGAAGAAAAGGAGGAAAAGGAAGAAGTAGTATTGAAACCAATTGAGAAAATACTAAAAGAGGAAGAAACAATTGAAGAAGTGACACTTAAACCAGAAACAGTCGAAAATGGTGAAATTCTTGAAGAAAAAACTAAATTGCCATGGCGACGTGGTAAAAAACCAATAAAGAAAGAGATTAAACCCGAACAATTACTAAAATCTGAAGAAGAAGTATCTAAAAGGATAGAGGAACAAATAACACCTAAACATAAAGATGAGAAGCCTGACGAAAAAGAAATACCAGAGATTAAATTAAAACCAGTTAAACATATAGAAAAACCAGAAGAAGAGAAGCCTGAAGAAGTAAAATTGAAACCTGTAAAACGACTTCCTAAAGAAGAAGAGGAAAAAGAAGTGGTAACGTTGAAACCAATAAAGAAAGAAAAACCAGAAGAAGAAAACCAGAAATTAAATTGAAAGAGAAGGAGAAAATAGAAGAGATAACATTGAAGCCTGTTAAACGCATTCCACGTGAAGAAAAAAAGAAAGAGGAAATACAATTGAAACCCATTCCGAAACCCAAGCCTGAAGAGAAATCACATGAAGAAGTGATGTTGAAACCATTCCAAAAATCGAAACCGGAAGAAGAGAAACCGAAGAAACCGGAATTAAAACCATTCGAGAAACCTAAACCTGAAGCACCAGAAGAGGAAAAAATACAGTTAAAACCATTCAAACAAGAAAAACCGGAGGAAAAGTCGATTATAATCCCACAAAAACTTCCGGAAAAACCACAAGAAGAAATAAAGGAAGTTGAAGAAGTATCATGGCATAGGAAACCGAAAAAACCGTCGATTACAGAAGAAAAACCTGTTGAAAAAATACCAGAAAAGATAGCAGAGGAAAAAGTAATTAAAAAGGAAGAGGAAATGATCGAAGATTTCAAATCAGTAGCTTTGAAATCGGTTAAACGAGAGAAAAAACCTGAGGAACGGGAAGATAAAGAGGAAATCACATTGAAACCAGTGAAACGTACTCATAAAGAGGAAGAAAGCACGGAGGAAATTAAATTGAAACCGGTAGAGAAACCAAAACCAGAGAAAAAGATCGAAGAAAAAGAAGAGAAACCCTTGAAACCGATCGAAAAAGAAAAACCAATTGAATCAGAATTGCCTTGGCGACGTGACAAAAAGAAACCTATCGAGCAAAAAGTTACCGAAATCCCAATTGAAGAGAAAAAAGTGGAAGAAGAACAACAAGAAGTTAGTTGGCGAAAACCACGGGAAAAAGTGATGAAGGAAGTACAAAAAGAAGAAGTGGAAGATTTCACGGCAGTTAAACTGAAACCAGCAAGAAAAGAAAAAAGACCGGAAGAAAAGGAGGAAAAGGAAGAAGTAGTATTGAAACCAATTGAGAAAATACTAAAAGAGGAAGAAACAATTGAAGAAGTGACACTTAAACCAGAAACAGTCGAAAATGGTGAAATTCTTGAAGAAAAAACTAAATTGCCATGGCGACGTGGTAAAAAACCAATAAAGAAAGAGATTAAACCCGAACAATTACTAAAATCTGAAGAAGAAGTATCTAAAAGGATAGAGGAACAAATAACACCTAAACATAAAGATGAGAAGCCTGACGAAAAAGAAATACCAGAGATTAAATTAAAACCAGTTAAACATATAGAAAAACCAGAAGAAGAGAAGCCTGAAGAAGTAAAATTGAAACCTGTAAAACGACTTCCTAAAGAAGAAGAGGAAAAAGAAGTGGTAACGTTGAAACCAATAAAGAAAGAAAAACCAGAAGAAGAAAAACCAGAAATTAAATTGAAACCAGTAAAACGTATAGAAAAACCAGAAGAAGAGAAACCCGAAGAAGTGAAATTGAAACCTGTAAAACGACTTCCTAAGGAAGAAGAAGAAAAAGAAGTGGTAACGTTGAAACCAATAAAGAAAGAAAAACCGGAAGAAGAGAAGTCTGAAATTAAATTGAAACCTGTGAAGCGTCTTCCTAAAGAAGAAGAGGAAAAAGAAGTGGTAACGTTGAAACCAATAAAGAAAGAAAAACCGGAAGAAGAAAAGCCTGAAGAAGTTAAATTGAAACTAGTAAAACGTATAGAAAAACCAGAAGAAGAGAAACCCGAAGAAGTTAAATTGAAACCTGTGAAACATCTTCCTAAAGAAGAAGAGGAAAAAGAAGTGGTAACGTTGAAACCAATAAAGAAAGAAAAACCGGAAGAAGAGAAGCCTGAAGAAGTTAAATTGAAACTAGTAAAACGTATAGAAAAACCAGAAGAAGAGAAACCCGAAGAAGTGAAATTGAAACCTGTAAAACGACTTCCTAAGGAAGAAGAGGAAAAAGAAGTGGTAACGTTGAAACCAATAAAGAAAGAAAAACCGGAAGAAGAAAAACCTGAAGAAATTAAATTGAAACCAGTAAAACGTCCTGAGAAACCAAAAGAGAAGAAACCAGAAGAAGTGAAATTGGAACCGATTCCAAAGCCTGTTCCTGAAAAAGTTGAAGAAAAATCTGAAGAAGAGGAGGAAAAAATATTACCATGGCGTCGTGGCAAGAAAACGAAAAAGATCGTCGATTTCCGAGAAGAAGTAACTGTGGTACCGATCGATCAAGAGAAAGTGATTACAGAGGTAAGCAAAGAAGAAACAAAGATCGTCGAACAAAAAGTGGAGGATAAAAAAATAATTCAAATGAAGGTAAAAGAAATCGAAGAGGAGAAACCGGAAGAAATTGCACTTCCATGGAGAAAACCGACGAAAGAGGTAAAAGAGATCATCGAAGAAAAAGTCGTAGTTGAAGAAATTAAACCTGAAACAAAGGAAGATAAAATTATTGAAGAAATCACTGAAACATCGGAAGTCTCTTGGAGAAGGAGGCAAAAACCGAAAAAATCGAAAGAAGAGAAAGAAATAGTTGACTTGAAACCAGTCGAGAAACGCGAAGAGTTCGTAGAAAGAATAGAAGAAATCGTTCTTAAACCCGTCAAAAAGGAGAAAGTACCCGAGGAAGTCGAGAAAGATGAAATTCGTTTGAAACCTGTTCCCAAAAAACCAAAGGAGGAAGAAGTACCCGAAAAGGTGACTTTGAAACCTGTCAAGAAAGAGAAACTCGAGGAAAAACCTAAGAAAGAAGAAATACCAGAATTGAAACCGGTAAAATTAGAAAAACCGAAGAAACCTGAAGAAGAAGAGATAAAGGAAGAGCAAGTGACCGAAGTATCATGGAGGAAACCTAAAAAGAAACCGGAAGAGGTACCTGTATCTATAGAAAAAGAAGAAGTTTCCACGCAAGAAGTTCAAGTGATCGAAGCGACTAAAGTGGAAAAGATCGTTGAAGATGTAGAGGTAGAGAAGAAAAAAGTCCAAGTTGAAGATCGTAGGAGGAAGCATAAACAACGTACGCAAGTCGAGATATCTATCACAGATAAAGATAAAAAAATTGCTCCGAGATTTATTCAGAAACTTCAACCCGTTATCGCGCAACCTGAAACAACCGCAAAATTCACGTGTACAGTATTTGGCAATCCATTCCCCGAAATTACCTGGTACAGAAACGAGCAGGAGCTTCATGTGAGTGAGAAGTACATAATGACCATCTACGAAACGACCGCATCGTTGGAGATAACGAAGGTGAAGGAGGAGGACGCTGGAATGTATTCTTGCAGAGCGTCGAATCCGGCTGGAGTAGCCACGTCTACCGTCAATCTCGTGATATTTGGTACTAGATCTGTGTGTTGTGACGTCTGTGTGATCGTTTTCAATCCTTTTCTAACATCTTTCAAATTTATTATGAATATTTTAGGAAGATGTTTTTCTTTGCGCTTGCGTGTTTTCTTTTTTATTATTTACAGGATAATTTTATATATTTCATATCGACACTTTAAAATTAAAGATTTTCAAGTGTCAAGATTGCATGTCTCATTTGCAAAAAAAATTAATCATTATCTTTATTGATAATTGTTTCCAGTTTTCTCCAGTTTCAATTATAAATAAAAATAACTCTAATAAAAATAATAAACATTACAAGAATGTAATTTACAAGAATGTATTTTGCACGAAGTTTTACAGTGCCGTGCTATTCCCCCATAATTGACATAAACTTACCACAATATTTTTTTTCTCCGCAGAAAAAGAGGAAGAGGGCATAGCGCCACATTTCGCGACACCGATAAAGCCTCTCATGGTGGAGGAGCACAAGCCAGCTCAGCTCGAGTGCATCGTCACTGGCACACCGATGCCGGAAGTGAAATGGTACCGTGGGGAGGAAGAGCTGAAACCGGAAAAGGGCAGAGAGATTACGTTCAATCCGGAAACTGGGGAGGCGAAATTGTGCATATTGGAGCCGACCGAGGAGGATGAGACGATATATCGCGTACGAGCCGTGAACAAATTCGGACGCGCCGAATGTAGAGCGAATCTGGTGATCAGTAACGTGGTGAGGGTGAGCAAACCGGAAGTTCTGAGGGCGCCAAAGATCACCAGACCCCTGCCAGCCTTGGTCGCCGAGTTTGGAAAGCCTTTGACCTTGTCCGCTGATTTCGAGAGCAGGCCTACACCGGAAGTGAAATGGTACCGCAACGGAGCCGAAATTGTACCATCTGACAAACGTGTGATTAAGATTTACGAAAATACGACAGAGTTGTACATTCCTGAGGTGACGAAGAAGGATGGAGGGAAGTACGAGGTCCGAGTGGAAAATCCTGTCGGTGAGGCGAGAAGCTCTGGCTCTGTGACGGTGAAGGAACGAGAGGACAAGGCGGACGAGGTGAAAGCACCAAGATTTATCGAGCCGTTGCAACCGCAAATCGTAACCGAGGGAGAGGTCGTGATCATGGAAACACGTGTCGATTCCTACCCGGCAGCCTCCTTCCAATGGTTCCACGATACTCATCCTTTGGAGGTATCCCAGCTTTTCTTTTCGTTCGATAAATTTTTTTACTTTCTGGTATTCTCATTATCTTCAAAATTTTTATATACATATAATAGTAAATATAAATATCTGTCTAATCAAATAACAAAAAATGTTTCTTGATATCCGAGATATCAATGTACAAACATAATACAACAAAACGATACTTGATTTAAAAATAAGAAGTAAGAAAATCTATATATTCACATCTAAAATCGTGCCAAGAATTCACAAAAAAGTGCAATTAATTGTATAATTTATCAAATATAATAACTTTCCGTTGCAGTCCACGCCACAGATGAGGATCGTAACGCAAGAGAACAAATCGATCCTAATGATCAAGGAGATCAAACCCGAGTTCTCGGGCATATATACTTGTCGTGCCGAAAATGTTGGCGGATCTGTCACCTGCACGGCGACCATAAATCTGCTGGATACACCTTGGGAAGAAACCGTGGAGCTGGTTTCACCGACGTTCGTCAAACGGTTGTCACCGGTCAGGATCATGGACGGTGAAAGTGCCAACCTGACGTGCATCGTCCAGGGAAAACCCACGCCTAGGGTCGAGTGGTACCACGATAATAAACCGATCAAGGAGGGCAAGGAGATCACGATCGTGCAAGACACGGAAGGCGTTTGCAGTTTGGCCATAACCGAAGTATTTCCAGAGGATGCTGGAGAATACACTTGTCGTGCCGTGAATCCTGTTGGGGAAGCGGTTTGCACGTCGTCGCTTATTGTGGAGGGTGAGAAATCGAGTTTTATTGTTTCTTGATTATAGGAGAAAAGGATTTGTTGTTTATTAGTAAATGTTATGATAACTGAAATTTTTTAATTTTTTTGATTCATTGAATAATATATTCATTTTTTGGATACATATCATGCAAAAAATTTTTAGGCTATATGAAAATTTTATATCCCGTGAAAGAGCACAGTGCCATGATATTAAATTTATACTCAAATCAAATTAAATTTCACAATAATAATATATTAAAAAATTTAAGAAATTTATAACGAGGAATATTTTGGTTTTTAGCGTACGAGTATGTACCGGATTCAGAGATCGCTTCTTCGATTGTCGCGACGTCTCTTACTACAGGGCAAAGCGGTTCGGAAGAGGATCTTTTATCTCCAAAGGTATTTTTTACGAATTTCAATCGTATATCTCGATATTTCTTTGATTATAACTCATGATTATTTCTTTCCATCTCTAGGAAACACCTTTGTTCGATACGGACGAGGAGTCTGCGCCGGAGATAGTAAAGAAACTTCCTCAATTAATTCCTACCAAAGTCGGAGAACTAACCAGGTAAAAGATGAAGAAGATTAAAAAAAAAAATATTATTAAAATATTTTTAATAACTACTAAATATATTGAAAATTAACGTTATCATGATAAGTATTTAATTGTTACTCAATTATTTTAAAACTTTCTTATTTCAATAATAATTCGTCAGGTATCTTCTATACATAATGTACCTAAAAATTGATTATCTTAATAATCGGATAAATTAAATTAAATCCAAACAATTTAAAAAATTACATCAATCATTATTCCTTTTTTTAGATTGGAAGTGAAGGTAAAAGGGAAACCAAAGCCAGAAGGAAAATGGTACAAGCAGGGCGTCGAGATCGTGCCGTCCCAAGAATTCCTGATCGAGGAATTCGAAGATGGCACTTCCGTGTTAACGATAGCCGAAACTTATCCCGACGACATGGGTGAGATTGTGTTCGAAGTGCACAATCCACTCGGCGTATCGACCACGACCACCTATCTGTCGGTAGAAGGTAACGATTCATTGATCCTGAACGTGAAAGACGACATTAAAAAAAAAGAAAAAGTAGTGAATGCTTCGCTAATCTGCTTGACATAAGTTATTTTCAGCTGCGCTCTTCTTCGATCGGAATCGTCATCGAGAATCCCCCAACGCTCTCCCCAAACCTTCCTCATAAATATCTCAAAACTCACACTGAACACTTACATCCTATCATTTACACTTTTTTTTCTTTCTATTATTTTATTAAAATTTTCACCAGCTAGCTGAGACCCTTTAAGTTCCATCTGTTGGCCGTCGAATCATTGCGTAAAATTGATTCTTGAATTGATGATTTTTGAATAATTTGGATCGAGAATATAAATTTTATAATCGTGAAAAGTTTCAAGATTCACAAAAAATGGAAATTTCAAATTTAAGAAGAAATTTTTAATTATTTTTAAAAATATCTCGTATAATGAAATTTTTACATATAAATTTTTTAAAATTTCGAAGAATTTTAATTATTTAAATTATTTTCATGCAAAGTTTTATAATAAATACCGATACTTTCTAATCTAATATTTTCGAAATTTTACAGTAATAATTTCAAATTTTATTAATTCTAAAATATTAATAAATAATCTGTTTTAAATATTCTCCAATAAAATTTCGAGATTTCAACCAATTGCAACAATAATAACAAAATTTCATTAATAAATATATTCTAAAAAATCTTACAAAAAATTGAAATATCAAGCAATTTCACGTAACAGTTCGAAAGTCAAGAAACGAGAGAAAATGCTTTGTATAACTGAAAGCTTGAGAAAATTTCAGCACCGTTTGAAGGATGGAACTGGAAGGGTCGAAACGTTCCACACGTATCTAACGACAGTTTTATCATTTAGGAATCGTCGGAACGAAGGAGTACAGGAAGCCATCATGGGTCATCCAGATGGAGGAGATGCAAGAAGCTCTAAGAGGTAAGAGCCGCCAATCTGAGGCGATCGATTGCATGTTGAGTGAGGCGGAGTGCACCTTTTCCACGGATAGCCTGGACGATCGAGCCATTAGGGAAGAAGGTTCTCAAAGGGACAGCTCGACGATGATCAGCGAATTCTCCTCGACGAGAACCTTGATGAATATCGACGACGAAGGTAAGAGGTGTTTCGAGGAAGAAGATCCTCACCAAAAAGGGTTCTTCTTATCGAGAAGGTTCTCAGACTCTTTGGAAATCGAGCAAGAGATCACCACCACCGAGTATTCGTGGGAGATGAGCGCATCTAACAAAGAAACTTCTTCTTTCGAATGCGTAGAGAATGTGTCGTTCGAAAGCACGAAACGCGAATCAAAAAGTGGAGAGCAGAAAAGCAAAGTGGATAAAAAGACGAGAACCGAGAGGGTGAGTAAAGTGATGAGAAAGAAGAAATTGGAGAGTACAGAGGAGAAGAGTGTGGCAAAAAAGTGCACGGAGACAAAATCGCATCCCGTGAAAAGCAAGCGAGATTCTGCAGTAAGTAACACGAGTGGCAAATTTTCCAATGTGCACAAGGTGAGATCGTCGACGCCTCTGACAATGGAAAAGTCGATAAAGGGAAGTGTGAAAGCTAGATCTCCATCTCCTGACCAGGCGAAATGTTCAAAGATGAACGAATCGAGCGAGAAGCACAGAAACGTGAAGTCTCCTTCACCGACGAGATCGAGGCAAGTAAGATCCAATGACAAATTGATCGCGACGAAACCGGTAAAATGTGCGAAATTCAAAGAAGAGGAGGCCTCTATAAGCAGCGACGAGGTCGCGTGTAGAAGAATGGAGAGCGTGGACAAAGTATCGATCGAGAGTGAGAATAGAAGTGAAAGGAGAAAGAAGATCGTGTTGGATTTCGACGAGTTTCCGCCTCCGAGATCCGAGAGGAAGACTCAAGCTAGATCCGATCTTTCGAACATCCAAGAAGCTAGTTTTTATCTTTCGCCTATCGAGGAGAACAGCGAAGCCTCAACCGGAAGTGGGCAAAGCAAACAAGTTGTCGAGCACTATGGGAAAGTGATGGAAACATCTATGGAGTACGATCATGCAAGGAAGTATCACACTTATCCAAAATCGAGGATACCCGTTGCCAGATGGTCGAAAGAACGTCGTTTCGGCAACTTGATGATGGACCCGAAGATGTACCCTTTGGAGCCGAGAGAGATCGATTTGGAGGCATTCCAACAATTGCATACGGCGGATAGTCAAGAGGAATTGCAAGAGTTTTTGTTGCTGGAAAGTCAGTGTAGCGGAAACCTCGGTCTGGCTGGAAATATATCGACTTCCGAGGTATCGTGCAACGAGCACCACAGCGAAGATGAAAGAGGCACCATGTCAGGTATTATTGTCGATCGAATTATTAACCATTTAATATCGATTTCTTTTTCTGTAGCTTTTCACGAGATTGTCGTTTTTTTTTCGCATGATGAATCTTTTTGTGTACGCGTGTTTTTGTTCTTCTTTCTAACCAGATTACTGACATCGGGGTCACGCGAGTCGCACAATCACCAATCAAGAGATCAGGTAAATAATTTGTTGGAGATTTTTGATTTTTTATTATGTGTTCTTTTTTTTTTCTTCTTCTTCTTCTTTGTTTTAGTGGTTTTAATCGAAGTGTTCTGTTCATAGCCACGCAATCTGTACCACGATTCATTCAAGAGATTACCGATGTTTATGCGAAGGAAGGTGAAACCGCAGTGTTTGAATGCATATACTCTGGCAATCCTGTTCCAGGTATTGTAAAAATATCTTATGTTACTTTTCGTGTAATTTCGATTTTTATATTTTTTTTTATACTTCTAAAAATCAGCATATTAATCTTAACTTCTAGTTTATCTTTATTGATTAACATCGATAATTTCTAGACGTCGTATGGTACAAGAACGATAAAATGATCATTAATACCCCGAACGTGAAAATACGTCTCTTGGATGAGGAGAAAAAGACAATATTGACAATTAAACACGCGACCGAAGAAGACGACGCCACTTATGTGTGCAAAGCAACAAGTGAGATTGGTTTAACAACGACGAAAGCTAAACTACATGTAACAGGTAGTGTTCTTTAAATTTATCTTTTAAGCTTAATATATTTCAATATATTCGAATACATACGAATATCATTTTTAATTATAATATACAATTATTCAGAAATAACTGGCAAGAAAATCTTCGAGGACGAAGAACAGTTCGAGGAGGAAATAATAGAGGAGAAACCTAAGAAGAAGCCTGAAGAAGAGAAACCTCACAAAAAGAAGAAGCCAGAAATGAAGAAGGCTAAAGAGACGAAGAAAAAGTGAAAGGGGAACGTGTGAAGGTAGATAAGAAGGAGTTGCATAAAGAGAAACTGGTTCCCAAGGAACAGCCAGAAGAAAAGTTAGTTGAATTACTTATTAAATATTCATAACGAACATATGAATACGTGCAAATTACATTGACAATTTGTTTTTCAGGAAAATTGTGGATATCGAAGAAACTCAGGTGCTTGAAACGACAGAAATTATCGAAGAACAACCGACAGAGGTAAATGAAAAATATCAAGTACATTAAAAATCATAGATCGTTTAAAGCAATATTAAATTAATATTGATGAAAGAAAATTGTATAAACGAGAGTCAAACAAATTTTTCCCATGTCTTAATAAATTTTGAAAATTAATAAGCAATAATACTTCTAAAAAAAATTATATTATATAAATTTATCTCAATACCTAATCAAACTTTTAAAAAAAGGATTCAAAAAAAAAACTTCAGTTTCTAATCGATTTTTTCTTCTACTCTCCTCTTCTCATCCCTTAATTAATATTATTTATCATAATCACATCGATATTAAAATTATCCAAACGATCAATTCTTTCTTCTTTCACAATTCTCTTCTTCTACTCCCCTATCCTCCCTCCCCGACCGAATAAATCGATAAATAATCCCAATTCGATGCAGGTGACACGAGCAAAGAAAGTGGTGCCGATCCAAGAGCCTCTAATAACAGAGGCGACCGCGTCACTGAAGAAAATCGACGATGAGAAAGCGCGGGAAATTATACCGAAGACGGAGGAACGCGCGAAGAGGGTGGTGGAGGAGCGAGAGGGAGTGGTGGTTTCAGAAATGGCCATCGAAGACACGGCCCGTGATTTCACAATAGAATCGGTGGTGGATCGTGCACAGGTCACGTCAGAAATATTGCAAACCGTCTCCGTGTCGGAGGTGCACACGGAGGCCAGCGTCCAAGAGATCAAACGAGTGGACACGAGGAGGAAAGCGAAGAAAACCGTGGTGACAGAGGAAGAGGAGCGGCCAAGAGAAATCGTGGTTGAGGAGAAACCGAAAAAGAAGAAGAAGGAGAAACTGAAGCTGAAGGAGGAAGTGACCATCGAGGAAATAGTGGAGAGACAAAGGGAAAGTATCGCGAGAGAGGTGGAGGAAATTATGGAGACTCTTCACGCGAAAGAGTTCGGGCCAGGGGAGGCTCCTCTTCGAGAATTGGCCACCATCGGTTTCTTGGTACGCCAGGGTGTCTCTGTGAACGAGATCAACGAGAGCTTGTATAGAACGGACAATTTCCCTGCGTTGAAAACCCCCGAGGCTCAGAATGCGCTTGTCCAATTGGTCGAGAGGGAGGGTCATGGGCCATTGATCACCCAAGTTCTGACGGAAGAAACGACTACCGACGAGAGTGTGGTGGCTGCTACCGTCGGCTTCCGCGCCTTTATGAGGATGATCGAGTTGCAACACGTCACTGTTGAAGAGGTCCTCACACATTTCGCGCCGGAGGACTTCCGGCCGCGAGCTTGGGAAGTTACGGAAGCCACGGAAGTAAGGAATTGTTTTTTTACTTTTCTTCTTTGCGTTCCAACATGATGTTTGTGATGATGCGTGTAAAGATTTTAGAATCGCTTGAAATTCGATTTGGATTTATCGAAAATTTAACATTCTAATTCAAAGTTGTATCAATTAGTAAGTTGTTAATATTAAAAATGATTTTTTTAAATAACTTGATAGAAGAGAAAACAATATTGTGGAGAGAGATTATATTTTGTATTTATTCTCGAAAAACTTTTTAATGAAAATTTAAGTATAATTGATAAAATATGATTTAAATATAATTTTAATTAGAAGCATACTAAATACAATTATTTATAGGTTGAAACAGAGGAACGGATTACGGAACGAGTGGATGTCATCCACAAAACGGAGGTCCATTTCATGGGTAAGTGGAGAATGCGGTGTGAAGTTTGAAATATACAAATAAATAAATAAATAAATAAATAAAAAGTACCTATAAAACACAAACAATGCAATGTTACGAAATCATTGCAGCTCGTCCTTTCCATTTTAATAAATATTTAAACCATCATTATTATCATATTTTGGTGTGTGTTTGCGTGGCTGCCTATATACATAACTTGTACATGTTTTCTTTTTTTTTATACTTTAATTTTTTGTATATAGTCCACGGCTAATATAAGCTCGAATAAGCATGCGTTTTATTTTCGTTTTTTTTTTTTCTTCTTTTTTTGTAAATATAATTTAATAAGAAAGAAGAAACTGAAAGTTTCTTCCCATGTTTGTATTTTATATATTGTACATCTTGAATGATATTGAATAAAAGACGTTTTTTTACCATGTGCCATAATCCTGTGTGTTTTTTCTTTTTTTTTTCTTCTTTTGAACGTCTTTTTCGCTCTTTTCACTACTTGTCTTCACCCCGTTCCCAAAAACTCCTACGAAAGAAACTATGGATTTTCTGATTGCAGAGAGGAGGGACGAAAGAAAAGCCGTCCGCACACAGGATATTCGTGACATTAAAGGTTTGAAGCAACGAGTTTCAATGCATGGGATATACATTCGTATTATTCGGAATTCGAATCACGAATGGATACCATCATTAATACTATCTTTTATCATTTTCTTCAACGCTAAAATTTCAGTGTCCACACAGTCGACACCACATCGACATTCCAATTTTTTTACTTATTTTTCAATTTCTATTTAAAATATTCCTTGTAGATTCAATTTTTGAATCTTAATTTATGATATAATATATGTATATTTTTTTTCATATCTTTATATTATGATTCATATTATATATAATCAACAAAAAAGTTATATATAAATTATATTTTTAGAGAGAATTCTTAATTCTTGATTAGTATCAAATATATATATATAATTTTTGAATATTTAATCAAAATTGAATTGTTTATTATGTAAAATATAAAATAAGCATTGAAATATTTAAATATAAAATATAATAATAAATATAAAAACAAATATAAAGTAATTGAATGAAAATATAAGGTAATTTTCGTGATATTTAATTATGGATATCACGATTCAACGATGCCAATCAAGGATTCATTGAATCAAGAAAATGTGGTGATTCTGAACGGATACTAAATTTTTCATCAAACATTCCGCTATAAGCTTGAATCGATCATCTTAATTGTTTAATGATAAAAAAAATTCATATCGTGTTTTTAAAGTTCATTTGCGCTGACTAATATCGGTTATTGTAGATCAAAAAAGTCGTTGAGAAAAAAAAAAAATGTGCGTGATCGATTATACGATACGGTCTCTACGTAATGATTATATTTTATTATTCTTTCAGATGCATGAAGCTTTACTTGATCGAATAATAGCAGTAAAATCGTTCTGCTTATGCCGCTATGCTTTCCACGCGCCGTATCCATCTTTGTTCTATTATATATAAATCCTCCCTATTCCTTATTATTTAATCACCTAAATTATTCGTATAATCCGATCCACATGACCGAATCAATGATCCAGCATCATAAAGCTTCTCGTTTTGAGCTTCGCTCTGCTAATCGCAATTTCAATGTAAGTAGAATTTTGTTTTGCGCTTCGATTCATTGTATCTCATACACACATATATGCATTTGGCAACAAATTCACCATAATTTTTCTATTTAATGTTTCATGTATCTTTCACGTGTTTCGTTTTACATTTTTTTTTTTTCAGAAACTGTGAAATAAAATATAGAACGTCATTGTGAAATTATGCGATAAAATTTCATTTACTTGTAATATCACATTTATATTTTTTAAAAAGTTTACAAATTTTCTCTTTCATCTATAATTTTTAACAGAATTGATCGAAATAATAAGTGAAGAATTTCACTATAAACTGAATTTCAATTTCAATTTGAGAATAAAAATTTATTCCAATATTTCATAGTTTCTAGATGCAAAGTGTAACACCTCATCCATTTCGTATTGATATTCTTTACATAGTAATTAGTATTGCAATGTTAGAATGCAAATGTACCGTATTTCTTGTTACTGTTACACATTCAAGTTACACACTCACATGAATCTATAACAATATTGCATACAAGATATATTAGCGACTTATTTTATACCAAAAAATTTACTTTCTCTCCTCTTTTCTTTTTATTTTTTGCATTCTTTTTTTTTTTTTTTCTTAATTTTATAGCCGTAGTAGCAAAGCACGATGTGTAACAGACAAGCGTCTCCTTTTTTTTCTTTCTTTTTTTTTTGTGGTTTATGTTGGTTTGACTTCTGGCCGGCTATTATATATATTTATTTTCACTGCCACTACACGATATTTACACACCGCATATCACTTGTTATTAAACAACGCATGCCCCGGGTGCCTGCGACTCAAGCACTAGTCACACTACTCTTTTAGATACTGCAGCAAACATTCCAGAGACATCGTAATTCGAACCAAATAAAACCCAATATTCAATTCTCTCGAATAAGTCATACCATGACATAATGAGAAACACTATAAAACAATCCATTTCCACTGTACAAATGGGCACATTATCTATACTATTTGACAGACAAGGTTCTATCTTTTGACCTATTGAGGATGATAAAGAGAAATTGTAATTTTCTACTATTTCGTTTCGCCCTATCGATGAAATTATGTATAGGATATTTGGCATAAGTGAATATTTTTTTCATTTCTTCTTTATGTTGTTCAAAATATAAATCATGTTTATTTCTATTATTAATTGATTAATTAGCAAATTTTAAATTGTAATAATTTTTAAATAATTTAAAGCTATAAATAGTAAACACTTTATTGTAGAAGATAATTATAAGATAATATTCTAGTTTGACAAAAATTGTGTAGAATTCATATGAATAAATATCTAAAAATTAATGAAGAATATATTGCATTCTGTAAAACTTTATTTTTTTTTTTATCTCAAAGATTTCGTTCCAAGAATACGCATAAAATATCCTATATACATATATATAACTGTCTATTTTTCTTTTTTTATATTTAAAATTTAAATATTTTCCTCAAAAGATCAATACTTCGTTCAGCACAATGAAAGCACAATGAAAGGAAATTGTACGATACCTTTGGAAACCGCGTAGAATAAAAAACACGCTGTTCACACTTTATCCGCTGTAATCCACTTATTTTTATTTTCTTTTTTGTTTTCTTTTAGTTTTTTTTACTTTATTTTTACCTTTTATACAAGTTCCGTCCGGCGTGCAATGTACGTAATAGTAGGTTTTTTGTCTCACTCTTGTATTATATTGAAGCACGTTGAATTCTGTTGTCTGAGCAAGCAGCATCCGCATCAATGGTTCGTCGCATGAAACGCTGCTAGTAAAAAAAAAAAAAAAGAAGAATTAAAAGTAAAGGAATGATATTTTTACGTCTAACGGCAAGTGAGACTGAGCGAACGAACGAACGAGCGAAAGGCAGAACGTGAGAAAGAGAGAACAATCGCGTTTATGATTATGACACGAATATTCTCACATACTTTCCACAGAATACGAGGACACACGGCAGGCACACACGACACTGCGCGAACGAAAATTAACGAAACCGAAGGAACAAATCGAAGAGAGAAAAGAAGATAGGGACGAGGGGGTTCAAGTTGTAGAGATTGAGGAGATTGAGGAAACCGAAACCGGGAGGAAGAAGAGAAAGGACGTGGAAGAAATCGAGGAGGAAATCGAGACAATTATCGTTGAGACAGACTCGAAGGGCAAACTGACTCAGAAACAAAAGAAACGTGATGATTTGAAGAAACGCGTGGATGTAGAAGAAGAGGAGATCATAGAAAAAGTGAGAAAAGAATTGACACCTAAAAGGCCACGTATTGGACAAGATGAAGTTGAGATGGAAGAAATCGAAGAGTTCGAGATAAAGAAAGACAGATCTATGCCTTCCCTCATATTAAATGTTTCTAGCCAACGTCACCAAATAATACCTTTGGATCGTACCATTGAACAAGCACCTGGTAAACTGGAATTGGAGAAAGCCAAATTAACAATGGATATCATTACGCCATTAACCGAACATTTGGTCCCTGTTCAGGAGAAAGAAATCGATGACATTAGCCAAATTAAACCCATAGAACGAAAAGCGTCTTTGTCCATCTCGCCAGTGGAACCTTATTCCATCATGGAACAACCGTCCAAGCCTCCACTGGCGAATTCGCGGGTACTTTCAAACCTACATCCTACGAAGCGACACCTGGCATCGTGCCATCCGAAAGTTTGGTAGTCAGCGAAACTCTGGCTAACGACGCCGAGTTATCCAGTTTAACCATTACTAAACAGGAAATCACTAGAACTGCAGATGTTAGTATGACTCTTCAGGAAGCTACGACTGTTTATGAAACCATGGTAAGTCAAAAGGAAGCTCCGACGGAAGATTTCGTGTCACCATTGGCTGTCAAAGCAGAAGACACTATCCTTCCTCAAATGGGATTATCTGTATACGAGATTCAGGAAGGACTAACAGAGGATAAGTTAGAACCCTTGAAGACTTTACCGACTAAGCCTAGAGTGAACGTCACTGCGGTTGAACCATTGTTCGTGGAAGAGGTTAGAGCAGAAGACAAACCAGGAAAGTATTATCCAGAACTTGTAGTTCCAACAGAGGTCGCCACTAAAACCGTGATTCCTCAACGACAACGAGTGACTGAGGAAATGTACGCACCTGAAAAGGAGGGCATGTATGTTCCAGGAAGATTACCACCTAGTCAGAAAGCACAGATTGGAATATCTTATGGAAACGAAACTGCTATAGTTCAGCAAAATATCATACAGGAAAGCGAAGGGGTATTTATTTTAGAAGAAAAACTGACACTTTTGAAGCTACACCCAATGTCACTATGCTTGAAGGAGTTTCCGTGTCTACAATTCAAACTCAAGATACAGAAAGCGATTTGGTGATTGAAGAGATGAAGAAGGCAGTGGCTGACTTGAACATCATTGAGATCGCATCAGCAGTGACAAGTGAAACTGTGCTATCTGAAAAAGAAAAAGAATATCAACTCGAAGACAAACCAATTACCAAAACGGCTGAGATATCTATTTCTTCATTGGAAATCGGTTCTATCGCGAGCACTATCGTTCAAGAGTCTGAGGGAATATATCATCCTGATCAGAAACCAACCAAAATATTGGCAGAGACTTCTATCAAACCTGAAGAATATGTGCAGATATCTGAAATTCAAACAGCGGATTATCCATCTGATTTTAAAGAAGAATTGAAATACGTGCAAGAAAGTGGAACAATTGCTGTACAATTAATGGAGGCTAAAATGATTCAAGAAACTATGACCCACGATCGAGAAGCAAAGATAGAGGAATTGGTGAAACCAGAAGAGCGTGTTGTAGAGACAAGCTACGACGCCATTAAAAGTGTCGAAGTATTCCAAACTACATCCATAGAGAAGGAAGCTGATCTAAAGATCTTCGAAATGCCAGAATCTCATCGTGGAAAGACAGTACCTACTCATCCTGTTGTTTCATTGGAGATCGAAATGACTCAACCGGAAGATAATTTAGGCATGATCAAAAAGGAAGTTCCATCGTCTGGTATCGCTAAAATAGAACCTATTGGTTTGCAAGAAACCATAATAGGTGAAACTGTGATCGCTGAAGATGTAGCACCGGTTCAAAAAGATAAAGTTCCTGAATTCAAGATAGCCGAAATGACAATGAACGAGATAGAGAGTTTGCACACCACAATGGTGATAGCCAATGAGAAAGCTGAATATACCGAGATTTCTGAAGTGAAAGGAGCTTATGCTAATACAGAATTCACTACACAGGTGGCGCCAATATTCGAAGAGGTTAGAACTCACTCACCAACAGGAGAATATGTTTCGGAAGAAAAACCAGTTTCTAGCGTAGCTCAACCATCGCACATTCCATTGGAAAGTATAACAATTGCTATGCAAGAACTGGCAGAAAAAGAAGATTTGTATACGACTAAAATACAGCCAGATAAAAAGACTGCCATTATAGAATTGACCGAACCTAGACCTGGTCCAACTGTACTTGAAGTTATTCCTCACGATCGTGAGAATGTGTACAGTCCTGATGTAAAACCACAAGATTACACCGCTGAAACTTTAGTATCTGGTCATACAGTTGCATTAAAATCTGAGACTTCGGTGGAGCAAAGCACTGCTGACATGAGCATCGATCAACCTAAATCAAGAAAGGCCATACCTCAACGAGATGCTTTGGAAGAATTGATCGTGACAGAGACAACTGTTGCCGAGACTGAAAAGACCAGAGAAGCGGATATTCTTCCAACTATTCAAAGTGCGGAGATTGAAATTCAATCGAAGACCGAAAAATTAACCGTGATCGAGGTAACAAGTATCCAGAAAGAAGAAAAATTGGAAATAGAGGAAATACCAAAGGAAAGAAAAGTTATTCTGGGTATCACTGGAGGACATGAGGTGGCTGAGATGCAAGAGAACGTTCTAGCAAGTAATGTTAATATTTTAAAAGAAGAAAAAATCAAAGAGGAGCACGCTAGTCAACAACAAAGTGGATTAGAAGTGGTAGAGCAGACAGAAATATCAATCTCTGAGAAAGAATCTCCACTTCAAGAAGACGTGAAACCTGATACTAAGAACATTGATATTACATTCCAAGAAGGAGAGGGTATCGTTGTAGGTATGACATATCCTGAGGATAAAGAGGGAATATTTACTCGAGAAGAAAAACCAAAAGGTGTAGAAGCTACAGTAGATATCATTACGCAAGGAGTAGCATCCAAGTTTGAAATTTTGAGTGACATAGATTTGAGTAATTTGCCGGATGAAACGATTCAAGAGATGAAACCTAAAACTACGATATTGCCTATTGAAGCTGCAATTGCTGAAGAAGTACAGACTAGAGAAACAGAAGCACCATTCAGTGAGATTAAACCTAACAATAAGAAAGCGAATCTCGAGTTCGTGACAGGCGAAGGTTTGATTATTTCAGCGATTACAGCTGAGGACAAGGAGAGTCTACTTCCAGAAGCTGAAAAACCGGAATCAAATCCGCCAATTTCGACATTTCAACGCATTCCGTAGCTCAAACCAACGAGACTACTACTACAGACAATGTAGGCGAGTTTAAACGAGAAGAAATGCATACAGCAACAGCTACAACTGATCATATCACATTCCGCAGTGTGATTACATCTGAAACAACTGCTGGTGATCTTGAAAAATCGATGGAAGATTTCGTTCAACCGGACAAAAAGATGGTCAATGTTTCTTCCAGGAGGAAGAAGGAGTAACAATCATTGAACAATTACATCAGATAAAGAGAAAGAGTACTTCAAGAAGTTAGAAATACAAGGAGAACAGGCTACTACAAGCTTTGATGCACATAAGGTTGCACAATTAACAGAGATCAATCCAGCTGCTATTTCTGGAGATTTAACTGTGCCTGCTCCAACCACAGTAGCTGCCAAGGAAGAACAACTACCATTTGAAAGTATCGTTCAAACAGAAACCATCGTGTCTGAAACTGAGAAGGAATTGAAAGATAAACCTGTAATCACTAATAAAGCAAAAGTTTCTGTCAATGAAATTATCAGTGCAACGACTACTACTGAGATTCCAGCTGATAAAGAGGATATTCTTCAAATATCTGAGAAACCATCTGAGAAACAAGCTAATGTACAATTCGTTGGACATATGATTGCGGAGAAAACAGAAGTGACTATTGATTCCAGTGCTGGTAAATTGGAGAAGATGGAACCAGTCTCCGCATTAGCAGTGCCATCTACCGTCCCTTTGGAAGCTGTAATCAGCTCGGAAACTCAACCAACTGAAGTTGAAGGATTGTTATCAAAGACAAAAAACCATCGAAGGCTCTAGCAGACTTATCTATAGTAGAAGAGCAAAGTATACAAGTGTCAGCCGTGATTTTGGAAGATAAAGAAGAAGAATACAAGTCTAAAAATTTGCCAGAGATAAAGACTGCTGGAAAAAGCCTGGTTTCTGGCCATATGGTAGCCGAGACGACTATGCAGATTGTAGATTTCAGCACTGGAGAATTCATTCAAGAGAAGCCATCAGGTGCTACCGCTGCACCAGAACATGTTCCGTTCATTTCATTGATAGAATCTCAACCAATTATACAGGAAAGCGAGGACAAATTCATACCAGGTCAATTACCAGAAAACAAGACCGCCATTGTAGATCTTGAAGAGAGTAAGAAAATTGTAATTGTGTCTCAAGTGACTCCAGCAGACAAAGAATCTTCATACATCTCTGAAGAACAGCCATCAAAACATGCAGCCTCGTTTGGGTTAGATACTATCCATGGAATTGCTGAAACAACCACCATCTCCGTAGAGGATTCAATAAGTGAAGTGAAATTAGAGAAACCAGACACTAAGAAAGCACTAACCAGTCAGGAACTGTATCAAAGTTTGCTGGTCACGCAAGATATCGTTCAGGATCAAGAGAATACCTTCGAAGGAGAGTTCAAGCCAACTGTTCAAAAGATAGAAGTATCTATCGAAGAAGGTAAACGTGTGATTAGTGCCATCGAAATCAGCGCAGCTGATAAAGAAGAGATATTAAAGACAGTCCAAGAAGAAAGAGTAAGATCAGCAGTGCCAACTATCGTCTCTGGACACGAAGTAGCAGAAAGATCTGAAATTATTCCTCATTTGAGTACTGAAGAAATGGACATCGTCAAACCTACTATAGCCACTGCACAAGTAGGTCAAAAACCATTCGAAACGATTGAAATGATGGAACAAGTACTGGCAGAAAAAGAAATAGACAAGATTAAGGAAATATCATTGCAGAAGACTAATGCTCGAATTGCTATAGATGAAAATAGATTTATCGCTATCACAGAAGCGACCACAGCACAAGATGTCGAAGCTGAATTATCGACAATTAAGAAACCTCGCGAAGAAATAGCAAAACCATCGATGGAGGGTAAAGAAGTCGCTGAACAGATGGAGATAAATCTTAGAGAAGAACTGGGAGATTTACCTGTAGCATTACGACCAATAACATTCGAAGCTCATCCAACACAGATCATATTGGAAAGCGTTGATATTAGTGAGATTGTTCCGCAAGAACATAGCGCGGTATTCGAGGAGAAGATGAAAGTGGACGAACGAAGTGCAAAAGTGAGTTTCGTTGAAGGAAAGAGCGTTAATGTTTCTCATGTTATTTCTCAAGATAAGGAAGACGCAATGATTATACAAAAACGTGAAGAGAGCACAGCGGAAGTGACTCTGACAAAGGTTGGAATGGATGTGGCACAGAAAGCTCAAGTATTTACTGAACAGAGCACTGGATTGATTCAGCCATTCGAGAAACGTGAGGTACAAGCTCATCGTAAACAGGATGCTCTAGAACCGATTATTGTAGAAGAAATTCCAAGTGCAGAAAGTGAAGGAGTTTTTGACAAATATCCAAGAACAGTTTTCTCCACAGCAATGCAGACGTTCGAGCAAGGTCATGGAATATCGATAACGGAAATCACTTCAGCGGAAATGGAGTCTGCGCTGAAGGAAAAGAAGCCGGATACTTCGCAGACGGCTAATAGTACTCTCATCATGGAACGTAACATCGTTGAAACAACCATGATTGAATCTCAAATCAGCATACCGGATAAGATAGAACAAGCAAGCATGAAGCCTCAAATAGCTGTTCCTGAACAAGATACTTTCGAGAGCATCATAGTGAACGAGAACATATTGCAAGAAAGTGAGCGTACATTTGAAGGTGTGTTCAAACCTCAGACTCAAAAAGCAGATATCGATATACAGAAAGTCACATCTTTTCAAGTGACAGAGACTATCACGGAAGACAAAGAAAGTGTTTTCGATATAGTACCTAAACCAGAAGGAATTAAAGCTACTCAGGAAATCAGTTTACACGAAACCGTGGTTGGATCTTTAGTGGAAAGTGTTCAGAGTATTCAGGAAATTCATGAGGAGAAACAAATATCGTCTCAAGCTTCGATGACTCAAACTGTAATAGAAACAGCTGTAAAAATAGAGACAACTGTTGGTGAAAAAGAAGACACATTTGAAGGGAAAGATTTCAAACCTGAACAGCAAAAAGGTAAACCTCAGATGGAGGGACTCAGCACTGTGACTGTCACGGAAATTGTTTCTAATGAGATTGAAGATATTTTACCAGCAACAGTTGCTCCTAAAGAGCAACAGGCTCAGCCTACTCTTATAGGCAGAGAAGTTCCGGAAGTGACACAAGTGATTGCTGCGTCGACTATCGAAGAATTCGAAAAAGTGACTCAATTGCAAAAACAGCAAGGCAAGATAGAAATGGAAGAGATGTCTTCCGTCACAATTTCTGAAGTAATTTCTAATGAAACCGAAGATATATTCGCTTCAAAAGCTATGCCTAAAGATCAGAAAGCAAACTTTAATATTCTAGGCCGAGAAATCGCAGAAACATCTCAAGTGACTACTATATCGGAAACAGAAGATCTTAGATTGAAGAGACCCGAGGAACAAAAGGGAAAACCTAAATTAGATGAACTGACACCTCTCACAATTTCACATGTGATATCTGAAGAAGCAGAGGAAACATTGCTAACAGCTGAAGTTCCAAAAGAGAAGACAGCTCAGCCAAGTCTGACCGGAAGAGATGTTGCAGAAATTATGCAAGTATTGACTGTTGCTAGTGCCGAAGAAATCGTAGCATCCAAGGCTCCGGAAGAACAGAAAGGTAAGCCACAAGTGGAAGAATTGGCACCTTTAACTGTCTCGCAAATAATTTCTCAAGAAACGGAGGAAACATTACCTACACCGGAAATACCGATCGGAAGAGAGGCCCAGCCTAGTCTAATAGGCAGAGACGTGGCACAAACGACGGAAATATTGACTATGGCAAATGTCGACATTTTGGCTGAAGATAAAAAACCTGGAGAACAAATAGGGGTTCCTCGTTTGGAAGAATTTGTTTCTTTATCTGTGTCACAGATGATTTCCACGGAAACGGAAGACGTGTTAGCCAGTCCTGAAGTACCGACAGAGAAAATTGCTCAATCGAGTTTGACTGGTCGCGATGTTGCAGAAACAACTCAGATATTGACTATGATCGTTGCTGAAGAATTAACAGCCGACCGTGCACCAGAAAAACAAAAAGGAAAACCAAATATAGAGGAATTGACTTCCGTTACAGTTTCTCAAACAGTATCTCATGAGACCGAAGAAACATTGGAGAAACAGGTAGCTCCAAGTGCAGCGATAGCTACACCTGCATTATTAGGAAGAGAGATTGCTGAGACTAGTCAAGTTCTTACAGTAACTAGCGTAGAAGAATTGGAAAAACCTGTTCTACCAGAACAACAGAAAGGAAAACCAAATGTAGAAGAATTGACTTCAATTACAATTTCTCAGATGATGTCTCACGAGATTGAAGAAACATTAGAGAAACAAATAGTTCCAAGTACAATGACTGCTAAACTTGCACTGGCAGGCAGAGAAGTTGCTGAAGTCAGTCAAGTTCTTACCGTGGCTAGTGTAGAGGAATTAGAAAAAGATAAACTACCCGAACAACAGAAAGGAAAACCAAATGTGGAGGAATTAACTTCCATCACGGTTTCTCAGACAGTATCTCATGAGACTGAAGAGACATTGGAGAAACAGATAGCTCCAAATACAATGATTGCTAAACCTACATTGACAGGTAGAGAAATTGCTGAAATCAGTCAAGTTCTTACTGTGGCTAGTGTAGAGGAATTAGAAAAAGATAAACTACCGGAACAACAAAAAGGAAAACCGAACGTGGAGGAATTGACTTCTATCACGGTTTCTCAAACAATGTTTCATGAATCTGAAGAGGCATTGGAAAAACAAGTAGCTCCAAGTACAATGATTGCTAAATCTGCACTAACAGGAAGAGAAATTGCTGAAGTCAGTCAAGTTTTTACTGTGGCTAGCGTAGAGGAATTAGAAAAAGATAAGTTACCGGAACAACAGAAAGGAAAACCCAACGTGGAGGAACTGACTTCTATCACGGTTTCTCAAACTGTATCTCATGAGACCGAAGAGACATTAGAGAAACAGATAGTTCCAAGTGCAGCGATAGCATTACCTGCATTATTAGGAAGAGAGATTGCTGAGACTAGTCAAGTTCTTACAGTGATTAGTGTAGAAGAATTGGAAAAACCTGTTCTACCAGAGCAACAGAAAGGAAAACCAAATATAGAGGAATTGACTTCCATCACGGTTTCTCAGACGGTGTCTCACGAAACTGAAGAGACATTAGAGAAACAGGTAACTCCAAGTACAATGATTGCTAAACCTGCATTAACAGGTAGAGAAGTTGCTGAAGTCAGTCAAGTTCTTACCGTGGCTAGTGTAGAGGAACTAGAAAAAGATAACTACCGAGCAACAGAAAGGAAAACCAAATATAGAGGAATTGACTTCTATCACAGTTTCTCAGATAATATCTCACGAGACAGAAGAAACATTGGAGAAACAAATAGCTCCAAGTACAATGATTGCTATACCTGCTCTAACAGGTAGAGAAGTCGCTGAAGTGAGTCAAGTTTTAACCGTAGCTAGTGTAGAGGAACTAGAAAAAGATAAACTACCAGAACAGCAGAAAGGAAAACCAAATATAGAGGAATTAAGTTCTATCACAGTTTCTCAAACAGTATTTCATGAGACTGAAGAATCATTGGAGAAACAAGTTGTTCCAAATGCAACAACTGCTAAACCTGCATTTTCAGGTAGAGAAGTTGCTGAAACCAGTCAAGTTCTCATTGTGACTAACGTAGAAGAACTAGAAAAACCTACATTACCTGAAGAACAGAAAGGAAAGCCAAGATTGGACGAATTGACGTCCATAACTGTTTCTCAAATAGTATCGAATGAATTAGAAGACAAATTACCTTCTCCTGAAAAGCCAAGCGAAAAAATCGCACAACCGCAGATGGTTGGCAGAGAAGTAGCTCAGAAAACGGAAATTCTAACAGTGAGCAATGTCGAAGAGTTACAGAAATCGGAGAAACCAGAAGATCAAAAAGGAAGACCGGATGTGGAGGAACTGAGCTTTCTCACCGTTTCCGAAGTGGTGTCCACAGAAGCAGAAAAAGAACTGCCTGCTCCAAAAGCTCCCAAAGAATATAAAGCGCTTCCACAATTAGATAGTATCGAAGTAGCAGAAACATCTGAAGTATTGACAATAACAAGTACCGAAGAACTTCCAAAACCTAAAGCTCCTGAAGAACAGAAAGGAAAACTTCAATTAGAGGGATTGCTTTCTTTATCTGTCTCAGAAATCGCATTTGGTGAGGTGGAAAAGAATCTCGCCACTCCAGACGAACCCACCATGCAAACAGCCAAGCCTAGCTTGATAGGTATTCAGGTTGCTCAGAAATCTCAAGTGATCCCATCAGCTACGGCTGGAAAATTGCAAGAAGAGATGAAACCAGATATCAAACAAATAATTCCTGAACAGATACCATTCGAGAGTATTGAGCAATTGCAAGAAATGGCTCAGGAAAGCGAGGGTACCTTCGTTGTGGAGAAAACAGCCAAGTCAGTTACAGCTGAGATGTCATTCCGCGTGTCTGAAAGCGTGGAAGTGACACAGATAATGACTACTGAACAAGAATCGAAAGAGATGATCAAAAGCGTTGCCAAAGAAGTTTCTGCTCAATCTGACGTGATCAAACACGAAGTTGCTTTGAAAACAGAAGTCCAGTTAGCGGACGTGGCTGATGAATTCAAAGTGATGAAATTGGAAGGCAAGATGGCTAGAGGTGTAGACGAGATTCAACAAAGTGTAATCGTTACAGAACCGCTGAGTACCGATGAGATTGAGTCAGAAATGCCCGAGTCTATATTACCTTTCGCAAAGTTAGCAAGCGTTACTGTCGAGGCAGAACATCTGGAACATGTTGTGGGTGAGTATTATTGTTATCAAGATATGAAATTGGCATCGACGGGACGGACAGATACGTGGACAATTAGGAACGGACCAGGAGACGCTTGGACATATCGATTGTTGACTTGTCTTCGTGAGATCGTAGGGAATAACTCGATCGAAGCACGATCAACTCAGTGAAAATGATTATTCATATCTACGAATTTGTTAGGGTCGTGATGAGTAGGATAATGATTGTAAGATGGGAATAAAATGTTGTGTAAGGTAGGTATGTAAACAACACACAACAAAATCTGACACTAGATGTGGAAAGAAACATAGAAACAATACAAATTAATTCTTCACACATAAAATACACAACAGTTCATTCATGTCAAACATAAAACAAATAATTCATATAAGATGATTTTGATGTTCATCGCATTAAATAATTTTTCTATAATATCCTTTATGTAATAAAATTTGTATCGACACATGTCCTAAGACCAGTAATGGGAAGCAAATTGAACTTTCTAGACAACATATATCATATAAAGAGCCAATATATATATATATATATATATATATATATATATATATATATATATAT